TATACTGGGCGGAAGAAGTCAGAACTTTTTAAGATGAGCGATCAAATAGTCAAAGCACAGTTGTCGTTATTTCTTCCTTTATTTCCTAAAATTGCGAATTCAAGTTCTACAAAACACCAGAGTGACTTCGTTGGGGACTATGGGTGGTGCTAATAGAATAATATCAAAAGCACGTCATACTTAATATTGAGATAGCTGAGTAGAGAGAGTTTCCTTTGTTCGGTATTGATCAATCTTTTGTATCCAGTGCAATAATGGGTGATACAGCTATGTACAGTTATGTAGCGTTGTTGATTTTCTATCCCATCACTTTTTTGCCAGCAATGCTCCGTTATGCTTTGCTGGCAATAACTTTGCTGCTAGCTGGTAGGTTTGGCCATTTGAATATCATCATAGAATGTTCTTATTGTACAATTTCCTTCCATTTCTGAATGTGGCACGGAACCAGGAAAGACTGATGCTGCAACCTCAGGCCAACAAAGCAATCAAGGCAAAACCGAAAAGCACAAATTCGCTGCAAAAGAGGAAGTTCACGATACGGAGTAAGCAAATATGTGGCTTGTTGTTTAATTTGTTCTCCAATAATATCCAACTATTTAGACATCTAAAGCAACATTTGAAAGATAAGATAGATGTCGAAAAATTGACTGAAGAACAGGAACGGTGAGTCACGCTGTATATAGATTTGATACTAGCCAACTTTAATGACATTTTTGCTATCTTTTAAAACTTAAATTCCTCCCTTTAGGGTTGGTGTTCATTAGATAAAACATCTTTTCTACTATACTAGATCTGTAATATTCATGGTGATCTACAATTAACATCGGTCAAGATAAAATATGTGAGAAGTGGTATATTTAAAGTGAATTCAAGAGAAAAAGTTACAAGTTGGAATGAGAAGAAAGCTTGTAACCTCCAGATTAAAGAAAATCTTATGCAATAACACAAACTTAAGGACAATACTCTAGTGGTTTAAATTAGAAATCATTGTTTTGCTTAATATTATTCTGTCTTTAGCATGCATCGAACAAGTATGATTGTGCGCCTTAAGCGCCTACTTACACAAAGTAGAAATCTGATGGGCCTGGGCATTTTGAGTTTACAAGGGATGAACTTCAGTGATAAAAGAGATTATGTAGAGACCACGTATTGCATTCGATAAACAAACGCTTTCAAGCAGATAAACTTTCGCTTGCATGCTGAGCAAGGAGAATCGGGAGTAATTTTTAAATTGAGTAAGAGGAGATGTAGGACTGAAAACAAAAAAATCTTGAAAAGAGAAAGCTGAGTTTTGACAGATGACAATAAAAAATAATTTTGCTTAATGAAAGGAATCAAGAATCAGAAATTATGATTCTTGGTCGGATTGCTACCAAACCAGGCTTTCTCAAGAGGGATTAAGAAGTCATGTTAATTTTTGAGATGATTATCAAATTTTAACCAATCTGCGAGAGTACTATTCGAATAAAAACTTCGATTCTTGGCTCAGTAGATCTGTATCAGTCTAGCACAGCAGCGGTAGCTTGAGGTCAAAGCGGAACCTGCACACAGGCCGTACACACCCTTCGCATACAATCAAATCAGCGATAGTTAGGTCTGCTCAGAAAAAGCATAATTTTTCTTCAATTTTTTAGAAATTTCTACCACCATGGAAAGATTTCTCACCAAAAATTTCTTTTTTCGAGCTGTCGATAGTGCGAAAATACCTTACATACCACGTATAGGAAGGTTGAAGCCACCTCAAAAACCGCAGCCCCCTATCATCTCCGTGACTGTCTACCATTATTAAACCTTGGTGTTGAAAATCTAATATTGAATAGTAAAATGGAAGTCAACCGGTTTTTCTCACTAAAAAATTCTTTGAATTTAGAGAGTTCCATCAAAGGGAGTCATAAACCCAAAATTAATGATGCTGAGGCAGTGATGCTGTTGTACAAGTAAGCAAATGAACCATTGTATAATCTTATCCTATGTATATCTCCAAATCTGCTTGACTGTTTTCCCAGGAGTTGAACAGTCAAATTACTTTAAAAGTTAGAACGTTCCAGTTGGAGCCTACTTATTCAAAGCATATGGAAATGATTTATGGGTTCTAGTTTTCCAAAGAAATCTACATTTTCTAATTTCCAAG